GGGGGGGTGGTAGTACCGGCATGTCCGACCCGTACACGGCGAATTTCCGCTGCCGTGTGGAGAATAATTAGGTGATAATTGCCGCTAAATTATGCATATTCCAGCAACGCACGGAGCGGTGCACGGCCATTTCCTGCCGTGTACGGGGATGTACAGGGATCGTGTCCGGGCATATAACGTCCAGGACACGACCTGCACACAAAAAGTGGTTCATTTCCGGGAGTGTACAGGACATGTACGGGACTGGACACGTTTCGTGTGCAGGTCGGAAACCCCCGGGTTCTACCGGAAACCTAAAATATCCGGGAAAGTGTGCGGCAATTTCTCACACGGAAACTAGGGATTTTGTGCCGTGAGTGTAATGTTTCTGAAGTACAATTACTTTTTAAAAAATTTAATAATTATTTTTGCTAATCTCCAATGTTAAATAACATGATAATAAATAGATAAATATAATTTCTGTATTATCAGATATCCATGCCTTTATATATACGTAAAAAACATTTTCTGAAATGTTTTCTACAATATAACTCTCATAATAAATCTCAAAATCACAACGTTTAATTCTTTCTAGCCAATCAACATGTTCCTTCATGCTAGATCAAGGAGACAATATATGCTCCTATATATAGGGAGAAAAATCTCATTGTGTTTTGATGACAATTATAGGAGTCAATGATATCGTAACGTAGCTGTATGTCAGGTATGATAAGTTTGGGAATGTATTTTACTTTAGCAACGGCCCAGCCTTGAGCACAACATTACATTGCAGTTGCCAGTCGGAGTCATACTATCTGAAACGACTCTAACTTCACACAGGCTCAGTGTCCGGGAGAGTCCGGGAAGTCGAACGACAACGTATCGCCCCTTCATCCCCTGGCATGAGACGGAAATGGACGGTTGGTCCAGGGCGATGTGATGATCACCTCCACACATGGGATTCGTATTTACAAAGGAATCCCCGATGTGGATGTTGAAGGGGTTGAGCCGTTCCTGACAACAGTCCTGGCGGTTAAAAATGACTACTCTGTGGATATCAAAGCCATTTTGTATATTAGAAAGCGTATTAAAGTTAATGACCGTAGGCGAATTGCAAGTACACGAAAGTAAATGATGGAGAATCGATGACAATGTCAAGACAAGCCATGTAAGCTTTCTCAAATTATTGTAATAATGGACAAACACACACACTATGGAGCAACATAAAACATATAAATCTTCTTAGTGAAGGTAATTGATTACCTTTTAATCATATACGACTGCCCAAGATCTACCCACCACATGGGGTTATCTCTTCCCTCCTCAGTGTATGTACAGGATTGGAGGCTGGTGCTCCCATCTACGGCAAGGCAGGCGCCGGCAGCTTTACCCCATTTAAAAGCCGTGCTAGTCTGGTAGGCTTTTTGGTAAAGGGCGGCATTATGATCATGGCGATTGAAGGAGCCTAAAAATCAGATGTACCACGTCATAATAATATTTTTTTTTTAAATTTCATTAAATCACTGATTGCAGCACGGTTCATGTGTTCATGTGCGTGTGTATGGGTGTGTGTGCATGTTTGTTTTCTTGTTTCTGTGGCCGTGCATGTCTTTGTCTCTGGGGTAACATGCACGAGTAAATGTTAAGATGTGGGGTCGTGTGGCATAGCGGCCGAGTGCTCGACTCGGAACCAAGAGGTCCCGGATTCGAGTCTTGACATGCTACCGATCTAGTGCCATTGGGACTTTCCTCACTTAACTTACGTGAAAATGAGTATTGTCCTGTTCCCTATTTGTCCTCTATTTGCGTTGGTGACGGCAGTAAATAAGTTGCTATAATTTAGTTTGCCGTCACCATGTCTTGTCATGAAATGTTGGAATAAAAAAAAAATGTTTAGCTAATGTGCTACGACGAATGGCGATTATACCTGATATATTGATACAGACCTGCACCTCTCATGTTCCTGTAGTCCACACAGCCCGGGCAGTCACAGTGGTCTGCCGTGTTGCCGCACCAGTTTCCCGGGGAGCAGCATGGTATGATACCATCAGGATTACATTCAGCATCTTTACCGTTTTCTGCAGGGAAACCCCAGCCGCAACGCAAGTCATCACGCCACATTTTCGCAGGAACCACTGGTCCTATTAGGGGGAATAGACGTGATAAAAAAATGAGCTGATGGCAATGACTGGAAAGTGACTTTTGAGTCAGCTAAGTGTAAAGCAATGACCATCTCAAGAAAAAGAAATTCAACAAGATCAGACCTTTTCTTTGGTAAAACCAAACTGGCAGAAAAAGATCTAATGGAAATCCATGGAGTCACTGTTGACAAAAAGCTCACCTGGGCCAAGCGCATCTCCAACATTGGTGCAAGAGCTGGACAAAACCTAGGAGCTTTGCGGCGAGTTGCCCTAAAGCTTGGCACCAAAGGGAGAGCCACAGCGTACGTGGCCCAGGTACGTACGAAGCGTCGCTAAAAATCATTGATTCCATCCAGAAAAAGCATTACACATCATTGATGTAAATGAACATGATGCCAGAACTGAACTGAACATCCCATCACTACTCCACAGACCTCAGGTGGCCGCTCTGATCTACAAAATGCACATGTCCACATGCCCACTAGACCTGTAAAAGATGCTTCCCCAACTATGCACAATCAGACGCACAGCCCGTACTAGTGGAAAACATGCCCTCACTGTGCCGATCTCTAGAACTCACTCCACCGGCAGAACTTTCATTTTTACTGTAATTCACATCTGGAACAGTCTCCCGGACAACATGGTCGGCCTGATCATTGGCAACAACCTCCAGTCTTTCAAAACAAGAGTACACCAGCATCTTCTTTTCACCACCAGGACTTCTGCATGTAGCTAGAACATCGCAGTTGTTGTAAACCAATGATCAATAGTAAGGGTTGTTACAACCCATGCTATTGTTTACATTAGCACATGACAGAAAAAAGAATCAAACTTTTTCTCGATATATGGTTTAAGTAGTATCTGTTCAGATTACGGAACAATAGCATTGTTCACAATCATTAAGATTAAATGTACATTCTAAATCTTTAAATTATCCTTTACTGAACTAAATGAAACAAGAAACTTGATAACCTTTGATATATCCTGTGCCTTAGACTAAACAGCATTCCGGATCCCGTGCAACTTCATAGCACATGGAAATACTTAGGTGCGAAAACACAATGTCAGACAAAAAAAAATTAAATGTTATGTATTTAGAAAAAATATCTTTTCACCGGAGATGACATACCTTTCTGAATGGATGATGCCGATGAAATAACACCAATGGTGCTAGCCTCCCGCTTAGGTCCAGTCGGGTCAAGCGGTAGAACAGTTGAATGGGAGGAGATAAATGATGGTGTCGTGACCACGGTACGACCAGGCGTGTAGGTAGTGTCCACAGCAAGCTGACCAGGTGTGTAGGTAGTGTCAACAGCAGAGTGACCAGGCGTGTAGGAAGCGTCCACGAAAGGCTGACCAGGTGTGTAGGTAGTGTCGGGAGTTTGGGACGGCTGCAGAAAGAAGAACAGTCGGTTAGCCGATGATGGTAAACATGGATATGTTGCTAATAAGACTTTTCGTCAAAATAGCAGATTATTTAAATTGTGCAGAAACGTGAATTTTATCATATTTATGGTTGCCCGAAGGCTCAAGTTTTTATACATGTAGAAATAAAACATTTTTGTCCTCCTGAAATGACAAAACATGATTTATAATTAGTAAACATAAAACATACATGTTTTGTACAGTTATAAATTTAAGAAAATAATACGCATAATGGCGAGGTCATACCTTTTGGCCGTCTTCAACGTTTCTGTTGTAATATATTAATGTCCCAACAAATATCAATACTGACATTACCACCATGGCAGCTATTATCACTGCAACTCCTACCCTGGCATAAGTACAGTCTGAAAAGACACAAAATAGGAACGTCAAGTCGTTGGCGAAAATGGCCTCTACAGGAAAGTTGATATGTTAAATGTTAAAGAAATCAAGGAAGATACAATATTGGCACCCAATGATCTACTTGATAATACACCAATTGTAACAGGGAAATAAAGTGAAAACAGGGCTAGAGAAAAACGGAAACACATGAACTAGAGTATCACATGGATGGAGAATATTGTAATTGGAAAATGTATGGATCACCTATATGGTAATTAAAAATTAACACAAATCGGTGTGTTTATAAGTACAATGGACTGTATCAAAGAAAAACACCCACTGCAATGCGCTTGTACTGCTACGTTTTGCATGTACGCCGGGTTCCAGTTCTGGGCATTCCATGTGGAACTAGGATTTTTATTTCGAGATTGTTGGTTTTTTGGGTATATCGTCGTTTACAGGATCGGCCTGGTCAGCATCATGTTTAGAGTTGTATTCTAGTCCGTGCGTTGGATTTTGCAACTCGTATGCAACAGCATATGGGTCCACATTGGTATCATGGTCTGTGATATCGATTGGTTCTCCACTTTGAGCAGTGCGACTCTCTGGAATTACGTTTATATCATTGTCATGTGGCTCGCTATCCTTTGATGGAGCATATATGTGGTTGCAAGGATTTTGTCCAGATTTAGCTTGTTGCACGGCGTCTTTCGTAAGATACGTCTGACTCATAATAGTGTTTTCACCCTTTTGGGGTACGCAAATATAGCTGTTTGAAGCGGGCTTTGTTTTTCAATCTTCTGAACCTGATTTCGACGCCGCCATGTCGACTATGTCATCGTGGCACAAGTTTCCATCCATTCTGGGACTAAAATCGACATCAGCGAAGGCACTGCTGATATCGTATACAGGATCAGCCTGGTCTGCATCATTTTTAGAGTTGCATTCTATTCCGTACGTTGTATTTTGCCACTCATTTGCAACAGCATTTGGCTCCACATCGGCATGATGGTCTGTGATATCGATTGGTTTTCGACCTTGAGCAGCATAAGCGCCACTTGCTGGAATTACGTTTATGTTCTTACCGTATGCTTCGCTGACCTTTGCTGCAAGTGTTGTTGTTCTTGTTTTTGATGGAGCATTT